GTGTTTTTCTTTGATTTATATAAAGGACATTACTGACCCCCATTACTGACAATCTCAAGAGAACAATGTCAAATCTTAGTTCTATTAGCTATATAGTCTCTATCAAAGAGGGGTATCACAGCGGGGTATCAGGGAGAGGTATCAGAGATAGGGAAATCAGAGAGGGGCATCAGAGAGAGGTATCAGAGAGAGGGATATTAGGGAGGTGTATTGGAGAAGGGTATCAGGGAGGGATATCAGATAAGGATATCAGAGAGGGGTATCAGAGAGAGGGAAAATAGGGAGGGGTATCAAAGAGAGGGATATCAGAGAGGGGTATCAGAGAGGGATATCAGAGAGGAGTATCAGAGAGAGGGAAAATAGGGAGGGATATCAAAGAGAGGGATATCAGAGAGGGGTATCAGAGAGGGATATCAGAGAGAGGGATATCAGAGAGGGATATCAGAAAGAGGGATATCAGAGAGGGATATCAGAGAGGGATATCTGAGAAGGGTATGAGGAATGTGTTATACATGTAGCAATGAATGATAATTCCTGTTAGGTTTAGATTCATATTGATTACAAATATTTGTATGATATGTGAATGAGCCAGAGATACACAGTGCACTTGTTTTATCAGGTGTTGGGTAACAGCAATGTGATTGTCAGGAGTAAAAATGACTAAAACACAACATTAAAAATGAACAAATAATGACATGATCAGTTAACAGAAATCGAACATACATAAAATTAAACCAATAATATTGCAGTGTCTAATGTGAAAGCTGAAAAATGAACCAATATTGCTGTGTACTTCATGACCAGATCAATTAGTGTGGGAGGGGCAAACAAGGTGGAAAGATTGACGTTTACATTGTGTTATAAAATGGATTAGTACTTCTTTGTTTTAACTGTCGTAATGGATGGGATTTGCCTTGTTGATACCTGACTTTCCGTGTTCCGGCAGACTGTGAAGAACCTTCTGAAGGTAAAAAAAGATCTCTTGGTCTGGCAACTGGAGCGTCTGATTGTTCATTCGGCAAGGGTATGTAAAATGCAGACCTCCCTGTAGTTCTATTACATGGTATGACAAATGTTTCCTGACTGTCAGTGTCTGCTTTACTGCTCCCACATGCCGTTTCAGATGTACAAACTGATGCTTTCTCCTCAGAAGTAGTAAAGTCAAGTGACTGGCTTGTCTTATCTACAAATACATCATCATGCTTGTAGTCCTTAGTTTCAGTATCTAACGATGCACTCTGTCTATTGTATTTACCAACTAAACCTTTCACTGTACTTGTGTTGGCAACATCCATTGCATCTGATGATTCAGCAGTTATAGTTATTGTGTCAGCGTCATCTGTTTCTGGGAATTCCGGTACAAACACCACATCTGGAGATAACATTTCATCAGACATTTTAGCAATGGATGATGATCTTTTTATTTCTGTCTCTTCAAACTGTTTAGCTATAGTCTTAACGCATGATGGCGTTCCAAGCAGATTGACATTTTCATCACTGCAGCTGTGTGTCCTCACTGAGAAATAAAACCACAATTTTAGATATTGTAGAGCTGGTTGATTTCAATTACAGATTGTATTAAACCAGAGATTAAAGTGAAAAGTACTGATGCCAATGCATCAAGTGAGTAAATGTTATCCAGAGTGAGATTATCAAGAATATGCCAATCTTATCTGCACTGATGTTGTGGATGGTTGTAGTGAAAGTGTATAATGTACTTGCATGGAGTTCATGCACAGAATAAAAGCTAACTATACCTGATTCTGGTTCAACTACATCAAAAGTCCCTTCATCTTCACATCCCAACATTACTTGTCCCAATCCACGTATCTTTCTTAGTTCTTCTACAGTCAGTCTGCCTTCTTTCACACACTCATGTTGTAAGTCGGCTAAATCTAGTTTTAAAACAAAATGAATACTGATGACAAACTGGATGTCTGGTTGATTGTACTGAATATTCTTTTTCAGCTAAGATTGTCCTCAACACTTCAGCCTAATTAATAGATGTTTTCAAAGTCTCCCAATCATATACAGCATTTAGTCTAAGTTTGTCATTTGGTATTCCTTGGTATTCATAGAGCTGGTTTATACTTGTGACATTATGGAATGTACTGCTCTACAAATATCCAGTGATGACCTTTTTGTCACATGACCAACTCTGGGAACCTGTAATTTTACATTCCTAAGCTTACAAATTATATGCTAATTTATGCTAATTACACAGAAGTGTTTATGGAAATGTGCATTTTCAGTTATGGTCGTTGATGGTTTCCAATAATCTGCAAAAGATTACCCATTTCATTGCATAACTGTGACATCAAAACAAGTATGCAAGGTTGTGTGCAGCCACTGGAACAATTTTCTGCATAAATCTGTGTAGGATTGAGTTTGAAATGGCACTATCTGATTATAAGTACTAATGAGTGACTGAGCCAAGTGCAAAAAATATCACTTTGTTTGTAAACACACCTTGATTTTTAGCTGTATCTTTAGTTTTTCCTTCGATCGCTTCCCTTTGTTGCCGGACACTACCAGCTGGTAGTTCAATAGTTTCATTTCGGTAACAAACTTTCACAGTCGCTGGTGAGACATTGTTGGATTCACTCTTCTTTTTTACTGTTGGTGACGAAGTACTGCTATCACAGCTTTTCTCTTCATCACTGCTAGTATCTAATGAGAAAGAACAACATCCCCATCATTAAATTAAAGCTTGCATTATGCACACATACTAAAAGCCAATAATAGACTGACAGAAAAGGATTTAATAGGAAACATCTAAACAATGTCATGAAATGTCAAGGTGGACTTACAAATGTACTTACTTGTACAGATCACGGCAATCTCTTGTCCTTGCTTCTTCTCCTCCTCTACATCTACAGATTTGCAGTCACTCTTTTTACTTGTGACAATATGTTCATCTCTTGGAGAGGTAGCCTCTATAATCCTAATTTTGACTTTTTCAGATGTGTCCTTCTTTTCATCTGACACTAATTTTATTAACTCCTCTAGAGGGCTTGACAACTCATCAGTCTCCTTACGCCTCAGCTCAAAGTCCTGAGCTTGTCTCTTAACTTTGCCAGGTTCGTATGCTATCTCTTCACCAGCAATAACAACAAGTTGACCATCCTCTTTTTCCACCATTGGTGTATCTTCCTCATTAGAATCTTTTATTTCAGTTTTTGGTTTGTCATCTTTCTTTTCTTCTACTCCACGATCAGAATTTCCTAAATCTATTTTTAGCAGCTCTGCATCCCCTACAGAGCTGGTTCTGGAACTTTTAGCACTCTCATCAGAATGTACATTTTTTTCACATGATAGAGCTCTATCACGTGAAATCGACTCAGAGACTCCTTTTGTCCCCATTTCCATATGCCGATAAAACATATCCCTTGTCCTTTTCACAGTTCCAGGTTCAGGCACAGACTGTTCAGAAACATCAGCTATGAATTCAGTATCATTGCAAACAGTTTCCATGGCAACTGCATCCTCACCGTGAGTGTCTATATTTCCACTCTCTTGGACAAGAGTATTCAGCCTCAAATCCTCCGTACTTCCGAGTGGAGATGCTCGACTACTTCGGCGACTACTTCTCTGGGAACTCTCATTTGAGTTTTTCGCAGATCTAATCCCATGGTCTTCAAGTTCAGCTCTCAACCTCTCTTCTAATTCTTGCTTTTGACGTTGCACTGTGCCTGGTTGTATACATTCCTTAACGTAGGTCTCTATACTGTCTGCCCTTTCCTTCACATGCTCATCAACGTGAACATTACCACCTACAATCTCATTGTCCACATGCTCCTCTTTCATTACATCAACTTTATCACCGCTGACTTCAGGCACATCAGGTACAGTCTGCCTCATGTCAGGCTCATCCAACTCAATTATGATAACTTCTTTCACAGCTTCCGTTTCAGACTTCTCTTCTTCAGCAAGAGGCAGAACTGCTAAATTCCCGTCAGCACAGCATGGTTCATCAGTTACCGAGGGTAACGCAATTCCCTCATCTTCAGCTTCATCTGTTACATCATTTGTAGGTACATCAGCATCTTCTTTACTCATCGTCAACACAGGCACTGGCACACTTAACTCCATAAATCCATCATCCAAGGGCAATAAGTTTTCTCTAACACAAGACAATCCATTATCAATAACACCTGCAACAGTTGAATGATCGGGTTGATCCTCTGATTCAACATGATTCAAATGTATTCCTTCAACTTGTACATCTTCTTCTAACGGCATTTCAAATTTCTTTAAAAGATTCAGTTTGACAGCTTCTTTGTTTTGCTCAGAAATTTCTTTTGACACATCTTGTTCCTGACACTCTTCTGATTTCCCATCATTCACTGACAAAGATTCTACCTCCTCCCCAGAGTCCATACTTCTCAGTAGTTGGTTAGATGTGTACTCATCGGGTGACCATGACCTTGGTCTGCCTTTAATGGTCAGTAGGTCGTCAGTTGTTAGGCAACCATCTGGATAAGATGTACTTGGAAAAAAATCGCTCTCATCATTGTCAAATTTCTCATCTGCCAGATTTGAAGTGGATTTACTCCGCCACAAATAGTTATGCCTCTGTTTACTATAAAGAAATAAAAAACAACATAATAAATGAAAGGTTAAGATAGGGTAGATGTCTATT